ACGCACGCACGCACGCACGCACGCACGCACGCACGCACACATCTATCGACTCGGGGAGGAGAAGTGAAGCCAACGATTCTTCCCCAAAGTTCCTCTTCAGATTCATCGCGAAATAAAAAAAACCACGACCGCAATGTAACTTTTGAAAATCAAAGGGGGGGGGGGTCGTCCTCGGGTACATCGTATAACAATATGATTGATACAGTTATGACATCGTCATGTCTAAAATGCGATTTTAACGTAATATAATTAAATGAATTTTAAAACGAGGTGTCGGTGCAGAGGTTAAGACGTTTAAGACTTATGACGATGTCCCAATGTTTTGACAGCAGCTCCCAGTTCTCCACGATCTCTGTCTTGGCGTCAACATCTGACGAAGACGCACACCGACCAGTCTTGGAACCAAGTCCTGATTTCGATTTCAAAACTTTGATTTCTACTATATAACCTAAAGTAAAATCCATAGAAATTGGCCAGTCCTGCTATAAGTTACGAGTCCCGGACTGGAGGGGGGGGGCAGGCTACTATTTTCAACACTGCGCTGACTAGTCATTAGTTGTTATTCTTACTCTGAAACGTACAAAATTACAAATTAAAATGAGTTAGAAACTAAAGTTGAATATCCCGGAATGAAGCAGCCGGCCCCCGATCCATCCCGACTAATGGAATCTCTATTTTTGCTCCATGCTAGTGCTAAGGTTGGTCCGCGTTAGAGATGTCGTTGTTCCGTGTTAGAGCTCGCTTTGCTCCGTAGTAAGGCTATAGTTTTGTTCCATGCTAGAGCTAGCTTTTTTCCATGCTAGAGCTGCCTTTGTTCCGTGCCAAAGCTGCCTTTGTTCAATAATACACCTATATTTGTAAAGTGATATATCAATCGTTGTTCCACGATACAGCTACCGTTGTTCTCTACTACATCTACCGTTGTTCTCTACTACATCTACCGTTGTTCTCTACTACATCTACCGTTGTTCCTTACTAGGTAGTCGGCGCTACACGTTCGCACAGTCGGGTTCTTTGTTTGAGTATACGTCTCACGCCACGGCTCTTATGATCACTACTTAGCGACCAGCTCCGTTACTAAGCATTGCATGACGAGCATCACATCATCTTCGCTACGTACTGATTCATCGTCATCGTCACCGCTACTACAGGTTCGCTACCCGACGCACGATGAGTGAGTCACAGACACGGGCCGAGTCAGTCTCTCAGACTCTGTGACCAGCCGGCCAGACGCAACGTGTTGCGAAACGACCACACTACTTCATTCCTCTCCATCCCCAGCAGGACATGCATGAGACTTTGACACTTGCTCGCCATTTGGTTCCGATCTTGGCGGTCACGCGTTCAACTTCCCCCCCCCCCGTGAAAGGTTCATCTTATCAATCAGTCAATTCAAAATTAAAATTTTAAAAAGTCAAAATCAGTCAATTCAGCCGTTATTGTTCTGCGACGATTTAGAATGCTGTTTGAAGGACCGAGGTTCCTTTATCCCGGTGGAATCCATCTTAACGCCGTATACGACTCTGCATTCTACGCTTCTGCATACGACAGGTGCATTCTGAGAACGTGGGCTTATAACCAACGTAGACGTCGACACTTGCTGTTTAGGACCACACTGCTGCGAGTTGTCGTTTTGAAACCGTCGCATGATGACGGTTCAGATCTATCGCCGGTCGAGGCGGTGTAACATACGATGCGTGGTTATTCATGAGTTATTATGGAGATTATTGAGAAAGAAATAGTGAGCTTTTATAGAGAGATATAGCACGTGCATGTGTAGTTATTTGAGAGACGGGAACAGTAGACAGTAGGAGTAGATAGATGAGTTTAGATCAGCCTAGTTTAATATTATTAACTGAATATTTGATTAATAAATTAATATTAACCGAGATGGAACTGAAATAAAAAATTTGCTGTAAATAATAGAGCTTTGGCTAAACACACGTCTGTCTTCTGTTTTAATAAGTTTCTTATAACTGAGTAACACATGAGTTACAGCGGCGGGGGGGGGGGACGAGGGCGCCGGCGTCGGCGGCCGCCGCCGCGGAGGCTGCGCACGGCGTGAAGCTGATCGAGCTGAGCTGCGACGTCGGGATGCAGGCGCGGCCGCAGCACAGGTCCTCCCGCGAGAGGGCGCCGCTGCTGCCGGCGAGGGTCGAAAAGCTGAGCTGGGCGAGCGCGGTCGTCGGGGAGACCGTGGTGGTCATCGTCGTTGCCGCGGCGGCCGGCGTCTGCCCGGTGGCGTCGATGGAGCAATGACGCTTTGGCGGTGGCTCGCGCGCGATGCGGCCCTCACCCACCAGGTGGCGTTCCCAGTCGAGCAGCTGTCCGAGGAAGTTGAAGTTGGGCGAGATGCCGACGCGTTTCTCCTTGACGTACCTGCGAGAGAAGAGAGGACACATAGAATGAGGGGAAGGGACTCGAGGTATGTAAGCGCTTAGCACTCTCTCTCTCTTTCGCTCTTTCTTTTTATCATAAAATAAGATTCTCTCAATATATACGACGCATGAAACTAGAGTTAAAACCGTAAAAAAATGTATAACATTAGAGGAAGATATTAAAACTGTTATTCAAAAGTAAATATTGAACGATGAATGAAGCAATCAGGTAAATGTTCAGGTAAACACCCAGGAAAACATTCAGGTAAATGCACATGAGGAAACTCAGATAAACAGACACTCAGGTACACACACAGCTAAATGCTCACATAGACGCTGAAATAAACATTCAAGTGGACGCTTAGGTACACACTTAGGTAGGTAGTTACTCAGGTAAACACTCAGGTAGATAGTTACTCAGGTAAACACTTACGTAGGTAGGTACTCAGGTAAACGCTTAGGTAGGTAGTTACTCAGGTAAACGCTTAGGTAGGTAGTTACTCAGGTAAACACTTGGGTAGGTAGTTATTCAGGTAAACACTTAGCTAGGTAGTTACTCAGATAAACACTTAGGAAGGTAGTTAGACAGGTAAACACCTACATAGGTAGTTAGACAGGTAAGCGCGCTCACCTGTAGGCTTCGTCGGAGCTGATGCGCATCCGCTTCATGATGTAGCCGATGGCGAACGTCGGCGATCGCGAGACGCCGGCGAGGCAGTGGATGAGCGCGCACGCGTTCGACTCGCGCACCTTGTCTGCAAGCGCATAGAAGAGAGATCGTGCGTGTTAGCGAATTAACGTCAGCGCGTTAATGACGCGAGATCTTGTCAATTACCCATCATGCCGTCGACGTGCGACGTAGCGTGGTGAGGGGCAGGCAACAATGCCATCGCTGTATGTGAATCGGTGACAACGGGGTAAATAATACGCCCACGCAGTTATACATACACACACACACATATATCAGAAGTAGATAGTAGACCCTATTATCTACTTCTGTTATATATATATATATATATATAGAGAGAGAGAGCGGAACAATGATGCTCACGGAACAACGTCGCTCACGAGAACGGCACGTTGCATCGAATGGAACAACGTGAGCGGAACGTCGGCGGCGGCGGCAGCGGTATCGTCACGGCGGGCGTCGTCGTCGCCAGCTTCTCCTCGTGCCGCTCCCGCGTCATCAGCAGGTGGCGCCGCGCGTCCTCGACGAAGCATCCCGAGTCCTTGATGTCGTCGTCGTCGTCGTCTTCGTCATCGCGGCCGAGGTAGAACACACTGCTGCCGACCTTCACCCCGCCGGGGTCGTCGAACACGCTCTCGGGGCTCGAACACGTGCAGTCGTCGCAGACGCCCGAGTCTCGCGAGTCGAGACACGAGTCGAGGCGTGCGGCCTCGGCGTCGTGCAAGGTCAAGGTCGCGCCCTCCTCGCCGGGCGTCGACGCGCACAGCGGGCGGTCGTCGTTGGCGGTCGTTGCCGCCGGCAACGCGGCGTCGTCGGCGGCGAGCTCGAAGCTGCTGTAGCCTTCCTCGCTGCCCGACGAGCCGTGGCTGCCACGCGCGTCCACGCCGGCGCCCCCTAGCGTGCCGTTCCAGCAGGTGACGTACTTGCGCTCGCCGCGCATCACGCACGTGAAGCCGGAGAGCGTCGCCGGCGGCGACGGCCGCCG